TGAAATGACAGAGAGCAGCCACTGGCTGATCGCTGTTTAGGCAACATGCTACTACTCGCGGCCTGCTGCGAGTAGGGGCATGCGGGAGTATTTAACCTTCCTTTTATTAATATGGGGTGTAGCGGAGCTGCAATATTAAATCACAAGATCTCCGCTGGTATAGAAGGTAATCCAAAGTAAAGCGCTGGAAAAGAAGGCAATATCCCAAATCCCCCAGTAACCGGACGAAACACAGTTCAAGGAGTCAACTGACAATTTTATTCACGGCTGTTAGCCTATGCATGCTCTCTATTCTAAAACACACAAATACATTTTTACACCAGGTTAACACAGCTATTTCAGACAACCTTTAAATGTTCTGCAATATGACCTAAAGTGGCTAGGTTTACCACAATGCTCCCCCAGAACCAAGCCGGCATACACAGTCTGATCCCAACGGATCGGCTTGGGGATGTCCGGGGGAGTGCTCACAGATCATTTCTCAAGTTCAGTCAGTCTAGATAACCCGTCGGCGTTACCGTTTTGCTTTCCTGGGCTTTCCTGAATAGTGAAGTCAAAAGGCTGCAGCGCCAAACTCCAGCGTAGCAGCCGGGCATTGTGCCCCGCCACACGGTTCAGCCACACCAACGGGTTGTGATCTGTGAGTAGGGAGAAAGGTTGTCCATATAAATAAGTCTGCAACGTTTTGAGGGCCCACACCATGGCCAGGCATTCTTTCTCAATGGCGGCGTAGCTCACTTCACGGGGTAATAACTTTTGGCTTAAATAAGCTACTGGATGTTCTCCGCCATCTGCTCCAACTTGGCTCAGCACTGCTCCCAATCCAAACATTGAAGCGTCTGTGTGGACAAGAAATCGTTTAGTTGGATCGAATTTTCTGTAGTACCCTGCAGTACCCAGGAAGGCTAGCACTTGGGTTTTTGTCCGGGGGTTAGGCCATTTAGCTACTGCTTCAATTTTTGCTGGTTCAGGCTTTTGCTGTTCACTCCCTACCCGGTGCCCCAGGTACTGTACCTCTATCATCCCTATGTGACACTTGCTGGGCTTTAGCGTCAACCCTTCCTCTCCGTTACAGTCAATGACTGCTCCAATATGTCGCAGGTGGTCTGACCAGGTCTGGCTATAGATGGCGATATCATCCAGGTATGCACATGCATACTCCTGAAACCCATCCAGTAGCTGATCCACCATCCGTTGAAAAGTAGCCAGAGCGTTTTTCATCCCGAATGGCATGACACGAAACTGATACAAGCCAAACGGGGTGACAAACGCCGACTTGGGGATGGCATCCTCGGCTAGTGGAATCTAGCCAGTACCCTTTGCATAAATCTATTGTGGTAAGGTACTGGCCTCGTGCCATTTTGTGTAGCAGCTCGTCTATCCGGGGGATCGGGTAGGCATCAGACACTGTTTTGTCATTTAGCCTCTGGTAGTCTACACAAAAGCGTGTTGTGCTATCGGAATGTTCAATAACCCTTAGCTGCAACATTTTCTCAATTTCTTTCCTCATATGTTCCCTGACCTCTTCCGGGTTATGGTATGGGGTCTTTCTTTTTTTTTGTGTAAATTAATTAATTAAACGTAGTTAGAACCTCTCTCAAAGTCCCGATGACTTTGCAAGAAACATGTCATCCTTAAATACTGGGTAAGTCTATTAAACAGTGAAATAGCATTTTTACCCTGTATATCATGTTGTCACAGCTATAATGTGCAGTATAACAAACTATTTTATAAGTGTCGTGCAAACTGTTCATTAAACGCCAGTGGTCTAGCGAGCTATAGAACATTTTTGTATTTATTCTTTAAATCTCTGACCTCAATCTGCAAAGCAATATTGTAATGGTGTCCATTCCAATCTGCTATCTATTCTTGCTGTTCTCAAAAATTCTGAATATGTTCAGAGATTTCTTGGGCAATAATAAATCCCCCAAAACAACAACTTCGCATTTCAGCTAAACCTGCCTGTTGTAAACGATTCTGTATATTTCTTGACATAAGTATGGGGTCTGCCGCATAGGTAGCTGTCCGGGGGTCTCAACTCGGTGACTAGCTAGCGGGGTGTACCCTGGTAAATTGGAGAAAGTGGCTCCCTTAGCCGCGATTAACTCCTGTACCTGGGCACGCTCCTGAGGACTTAGCCGCTCCCCCAGCTGAACACCTGTGGAGGCCTCTGCCTGATCTTCCCGCTCTAAAAAGTCAGGTAGCGGAAGAATCTCGTGATCCTCAGAGGCTGAAGCGCATATCGCCGCCACGTCCTCTATCCTCTCATGGTAGGGTTTGAGCATATTCACGCGGAGCATGCGTCTCTTCCCTGTCCCTGAGCAGGGGCCAATAACATAGGTGGTGTCACATCTCTGTTCAACCACCTGGTATGGGCCTTGCCAGATGGCCTGCAGCTTGTTATTATGAACAGGTTTTAAAATCAAAACTTTCTGTCCCACGTGAAAGCTGCGGTCTCTGGCTCCCCTATCATATCAGTGGCGCTGGCGTTGTTGGGCTGCCTGGAGGTTGGTCCGTACGGTCTGGGTTAGTGCCTCCAAGCGTTCCCTGAGCTCCAGCACATATGGTACAATGGGTGTCCCATCTGTACTACTTTCCCCCTCCCAGTGCTCCTTAATTAAATCTAAAGGTCCTCGCACCCTTGTTATGGGCAAATGCAAATATTACAAGTTTTAGAATGAAATGTTGTATTTCTTAAATTGTGTACTTTGTCTTTAAGAGATATTGCAAAGTGACGAGGTGTTAGAAATGGAACATATCGTTTTTCATAACTGTTTCTTTAAGCAATAACCTCAGTGCATAATATGTTTGCGCCATTTTGTCCCAGACGAATTACAATAACAATAATGCATAAACAAGCTTCAAGGCTATACTACGACTCTTGCAGTACACAATATACTGTGGTAACCCCAAGTTAATGGAACTTCCCCAAATCCAGGAATCTCCCACGACTGCGCACTTACAACTTCGTATAAACAACAGATAAGGATATTCAGACTTTAAGATGCCATCTTGAACTAAGTCAGGAAAATTTCCATGACGTATGCACCCTTTAGTTATGGCCTTGTATGTTTGCCAAATTAAGGGAGGTCCTAAAATGAATAAAGTAAATGAACTACGGTAACCCTAAAATGGAGACACCTAAGGTATAAATAGGTGTACTTTTAAATGTTAAGACACAGAGGAGAGACCTGGAGACAGACGCTGCTCCATCTTAAAATGACAGAGAGGCTGACATGATGACATGTTCAGAAGGGTATGTTAACCTATTAATGATATTTGCAAGCATTTAGTTTAATCTTATAAACTCTGCTAAAATGGATTTTACATTTATATTTTTATATAATACATATCCAAAAAGACAAAACTATTGCTTCCAAGACAATCCTTATTTTATATTGTATTCTCAATTATTTATATATGTTAAATAGAGGATCTCTTACTAACTATATAAAATTATGGCTAAGATATCTGTATGGTTAGCCCTACTAAGTTCTATGCTTTAAGACATTATAGTGGTAAATAAGGGAACCACCTGCGGTTACAATTGGCGACCACGAAGGGACTTGTACTTGGAAGCTTTAACTATAAGATAATAAATACCTAGGTAACCTGTTATACGTAAGAGAAGACACAATACTTTGTCATGGCACAAGTCTTGAAATATCAAGAATCTATTGAGCTATTTGTAGCCCAGACTCAGAGAGAGATCTTCATTATCAGAGATGATTTTAATGTGAACAAAGCACTTTCAATTCAGGTGCCAGGTACATCATAATTAGCATACAATGCTGAAATTGTGGATCTTAATTAATATCATAAGAGAACAAAGGTACATATTTGGTAAACTCCCTGATATGCCTAATACACCAGCACAGCATGGCCCATTAGTTCCAGGACAGTGGATTGCAGACAGGGGGATATGTTCTCTTTGTAGCTGCTTAGTATGCATGCGCAGGAAAAAGATTAATGCAAAATGTTGTCAAAAGAAAAGTGATAAGACAGAGCGATGAATTTTGAAGTCTAATTCCAAGAATGCAAAGAAAATTGCATTATGGCTTAATGAAAACATTCATGACACAGAAGCGACAGACAGTCCACTATATAAGAAAAGTTTTATGAAACAGTGATAATTTCCATATTGTCAGTTAGGCTAGCTGTTGATTAAAAATCAGGAATTATAACAGCATAACTATTTTTGGAGTCTGGAGTTTCCAGCCAAGGTTGCGGAGATAGAGACATGTAAACATTGCTTCCATTCCAAATTATGAACAACATTATTACATACAGCCATAAAGAGAAAGACATGGCTTTTAAATACATTCAGTGCAGTACACTGCAGCATGTATTTTATATAATATATGATAACTAGCTCATATTTTTTTCTTAACAGAGTTGAAATTATACTACCCTTCTAGAAAAAAGGGCAACAGGTGGTTATACATCCTTTGCTTTTCTAAATCCTCTGCAAAAATAACTATTTATAAAATAATTAAAAAAAAATATATATGTAAGATAAATCAGGGCTAAATAAAATTGTAACTAGACAGGATCTCTGATAACATTTAAACTAAAATTATTAAAGGCTTATTTAAATAAAATGTTAAAAGAAGAAAAAAATAAAAATTATAGAAAATTCATCAGGCGAACACCCAGAACATGCATTTTTGTATATAATCTTAATTTGCAGATATTTTATGCCTTAAAGACATATAAAGGATATTTAATTAAATATGCAGGTATCTTTAAAAATTAAGCAATATTAAAAATAAAAAAATTAATAATATAAAAATATATATATATATTTATTTTACACCACAATATAAACAACAGGCAGGTTTAGCCACTTTCTCCAATTTACCAGGGTACACCCCGCTAGCTACTCACCGAGTTGAGACCCCGGGACAGCTACCTATGCGGCAGACCCCATACTTATGTCAAGAAATATACAGAATCGTTTACAACAGGCAGGTTTAGCTGAAATGCAAAGTTGTTGTTTTGGGGGATTTATTATTGCCCAAGAAATCTCTGAACATATTCAGAATTTTTGAGAACAGCTAGTATAGATAGCAGATTGGAATGGACACCATTACAATATTGCTTTGCCGATTGAGGTCAGAGCTTTAAAGAATAAATACAAAAATGTTCTATAGCTCACTAGACCACTGGCGTTTAATGAACAGTTTGCACGACACTTATAAAATAGTTTGTTATACTGCACATTATAGCTGTGACAACATGATACACATGGTAACAATGCTATGTCACTGTTTAATAGACTTACCCAGTATTTAAGGACGACATGTTTCTTGCAAAGTCATCGGGACTTTGAGGGAGGTTCTAACTACGTTTAATTTATTAATTTACAAAAAAAAAAAGAAAAAAGGTTTTCGTTTTTTTTCCCCTGCAAGTGAATTTTCAGCGCAAGGTCATTTTGTGTTCACAGACTATTCGGTTTTTAAAAAAGCTGTTCTTTATCTCACATTATGAACGGCCTTGTAATTCCTATGCACACTAAAAGTTGGCTTTTAAATGTTATTGTTTTAACTTTAATATTTTATTTCATAGTTAATACAGAGGATAAAGTAATTTAAAGAAAGTATATTGAAAGTATATTAATTGATAGGATTTCATTTATCTATTTTGGTCCACCGTTCACTGATCTCGAATCTCAGTCTGGTGTTCAAACAGTTTTTCTTACAATACGTTGTGAGTTTATATCCACAACTGCATTTTACTTTGTGATAACAAATTGAAAGCCTGGCATTGTAATACGTGTATGGACATGCTTATAACAAAGCATGGGCCCTCTCCTCATGTAGTTGGTCATTAACAGGCACTTTGATGCAATGTGTCTACCAACGCTTTTCTGTGGTCACTGGATCACATCGCATACCCTATCTCTCAGTCATGATGCAGAGTTTATGCTTGCAAGGATATCCAGACCTTATCCACCTGGTATCCGCATAAATACTCCTATCGTTTAGAGGGGTTAATTACATAATAACCATTGAAGGTAATATGTTGGTTGTTCTTCCTATAGAGGAAAGATAGACTTGCCCTAAAAGCTTTTTCATGGCTAGGACAAGCTCTTATAGAGAGAGGTAATGTACTTCTGACTCCTGAAAAGGAATATTGGTGGTCCAATATGGGAAATACTGTAATTCATGTGTTTAGTAATCATAAGCATTTGCTTATTGCCACATTACTGATGTACTGTTTATTGAAATATTAATATCTAACGTACTTTTTGAATTACTATATATTGGAAGTTTGCCAACATCTCATGGTTATAATATGTTTTTGTATGTGTTGATGCATGTACCAGGTTTACTTGGATATATCCTGTGCGAAGTGCAACCTCTGATGCCACGTTTTCTAGTCTCACTTCCTTAGCATGCATTTGATAATCCCAGGACCATCCATTTGGATGGTGGTCCTGCAGTTACTGCAAAGGAAACCTAAAACTGGGCAACCACATTTGGGTTACTTTGGGATTTCAGTGCGCCAACCACCCCCAAAGAAGTGGGGTTGTGGTCTGGGAAAATGCTGAGGTTAAATGATTATTAACCAAGTTACTAGTTGCTTGCCCCACACAGTGGTATCTATTTATTCCTATGGTACAGATGAGCATTCACAACATACCTGATGATACAAATGGTGAGACACCATATGAAATGTTACATGTTTTTTCACTGACAAACATATTTCTGCACCAGGGAGAGCTTAGAACCATTGGTTCTATTAGAGAAATTTAGGGGATTTTTTTTCCAGCCCACCTCGCCTTGCACCACCAACTTTTTCTGTTGGCCAGTTTGTCCTGGAGAGGGTGACTCCGAGAACTTTTACTACAAAGAACAATCAGAGCCAACAGAGAACAGTAAGTTTTGATATTTTACAACCTGCTAAATACTAACAGGACATTCACAGAACCACCGACTGACACAATGGATGCTGTTAAAGATGGCAAGATAAAACAAACAGAGGACGACAGAAATGCCACCAGAACCATAGCCACGTAACAGACTGAATCATGATCTGACATCTGAACCTGCAAATGTGAAGGAGAAGGATAAACAGACAGACGTGATACATTCACAGTTAACATGGAATGTATGAAAAATGAATCATCCACATCATTATAAGAAAGACTCTGGAGAAAACAGACTGTACCTGAATTATCTTATACAGTAAGAAAGAAATGCAAAGATGGAAGCAAAAGGATGCTAGAAAATTGGTTATGGTGTCTCCTTCTTACAGTCTGCAGCATTATCATAACATCAACCCTAGCTGTCGTTTTAAAACTGCATTGGGATTATGTTAACAAGCAGGAAGCACCTGAACTGAATTGGACTGCACACTATACAAGTTCTGTGATCGCGAGGACTACCTCCAAGAACTATCTCAAAAGGAGAGACACAGCTCACAGTGAAATGATTGCTAATGTGACCTACACTGGTATTTCACAAGGGAACCTATTGAAGATCATTCCAAAAAAACGATTATGAGAAAGATGTGATTGGACTATTTCAAATCCTAATAATGGACTCAACGATGATGGCAAAGCATGCTGAAAACAGGAAAAGACGGGACAGATGCTTGAGAAAGACTTTGGATGCACCTATGAAGGTGATTAACCCCTTAGCGACCCAGGATGGTTCAGGACCGTCATCGGCATTTTTGCCTTGAGGACCGATGACGGTCCTGAACCGTCCTAACGGTTTCCGTTACTTACCTGATCGCCGTCGTTCCCCCGGCGGCGATCAGCGTTGCTCCGGTTGTGGGGAGACTGCCTGCAGCCCAGACAGTCTCCCCACACTGAATTAGGTCCCCCCGTGGCCATGTGATCGCTTAACACAGCGATCACATGGTCACAATAGGTGTCCTAGTGTCTGCCTGCAGGGGGACTGCCTGTGCTGACAGGCAGTCCCCCTGCTAGTGCAAAATCAAAAAATAAAATAAAGTTAATGTTAATTAAAAAAAGAATAATAATTATATATGTGTATATATGATATATAGACATATATTATATCTATATAATATATGTCTATATATCATATATATATAATGCCATACTAAGTGTATTTTTATATTAATATGTACTTATATTAATATAAAAATACACTTATAATTAAATTACACACGTATATATATAATATATATAATAACTATATATTGTATATATATATATTATTATAAAATATAAATAATAAGTAATTTAAATTAAATAAAAATTTTTAAAATAATAATAAAAAAATTTAAAAAAATTATATAGCTATATGAAATTTTATTCTAACTGTATTTTAAAATTAATATATATATATTTATATCAAAATACACTTAGAATGAATTTGTATATATCTATGTATATAAAAATAAATAAAAATAATAAGAAATATACATATAAGTCCATATACAAAATTACATAAATAATTATATAAATATACACGTAGACTTCAAATATATAAATATGCATATATATTTAAATTCTACGTGTGTATTTATGTGATATTTTTACATAATTCAGTAATTTTATTGATTGCAATTTGAGGGACCTGCCTGCCAACCCAGGCCTAAATTCCAGAGAATTTAATTTGCTATCACTGTATTTTACCCTGTAACATTCTACGACACCCTAAAACCTGTACATGGGGGGTACTGTTTTACTCGGGAGACTTCGCTGAACACAAATATTAGTGATTCACAACAGTAAAACATATCACAGCGATGATATTGTCAGTGAAAGTTACTTTTTTGCATTTTTCACACACAAACAGCACTTTTACTGATGATATAATTGTTGTGATACGTTTTCCAGTTTTTAAACACTAATATTTGTGTTCAGCGATGTCTCCCGAGTAAAACAGTACCCCCCATGTACAGGTTTTATAGCATTTTTGAAAGTTACAAGGTCAAATATATGGGTCAAATATTTTTACATTGAAATGGCCAGGTTGGTTACGTTGCCTTTGAGAGCGTATGGTAGCCCAGGAATGAGAATTACCCCCATGATGGCATACCATTTGCAAAAGAAGACAACCTGTATATGTTCAGTCAGTTTACTTAGTCACAAACACTGGCTAAATTAGCCTTTCAATTTAGTTTTTACTTTTTCACACACAAACAAATATGAATGCTTACTTTGGCCAGTGTTTTCTTTCGACTAAGTGGCTACTAAAAAAGACTGGACATACCCCATATTGAATACCCTGGGTTGTCTACTTTAAAAAAAATATGTACATGTGGGTGTTATTCAGAGATTTATGACAGATAATAGTGTTACAATGTCACTATTGATAAATTAAAAAAATTTATGTTTTGAAACCGCAATATTCTACTTGTACCTATAGCCCTATAACATGCAAAAAAAAAGCATGTAAACACGGGGTATTTTTAAACTCAGGACAAAATTTTGAATCTATTTAGCAGTTTTTTTAATTCGCTTTTGTAGATGAGTAAAAGATTTTTCAAATAAAAGTCAAAAAACATGTATTTTTTTCAATTTTTCATCATATTTTTTTATTTTTTTTAAATTAAAATACATGAGATTATATAAATAATGGTATGTAAAGAAAGCCCCCTTTGTCCTGAAAAAAACAATATATAATTTGTATGGGAACAGTAAATGAGAGAGCGGAAAATTCCAGCCAAACACAAACACCACAAAAGTGTAAAAATATGCCTGGTCGCAAATGTACAACATCGCAAAAACAGTCCAGTCCTTAAGGGGTTAAGAAAATACTTTGCCATATAGTTTATCATTGAATGACTACTGCAAACAGCCTTCTTATGCTGAAAAGAAGTGCTATGCTAATTCTGGACATTGCTATTATGTTTCCAGAAGAAGAAACATAAACATATGTTTCCAAAGAAATAAAGGCTGATAACTGTCAACACCCAGCTGTTTCTCAAGATGGGGAAGGATTTATTGTATGCTGTACCAGTTTGACTGCTAGGAGAGTAAACCTACCTTCGTATGGTTCCTATTCAACTGTCTACAGCATTCATATGCTTGGGAGAATTTATTTGTTTCTCCGGTTCGGTGATTGTGGTGTCTGCCAGAGTGCTTGGAGTCCTCAGGAAGCGCTAGGAGCATCCTTCAACGGAGGTACCCAGTCGGGGTGCCAGGCGATCCGTTACAATGATAGTGAAAGATCATATGATTGCAATAACAACTGCAATAATGAATAATGTTTTAACCTTAGAAGAAAGTGTAAAATGTTTTTATTATATCAGAAACTACTCTATATTTGTTTAAGTTTGCAGAGTGGTATAATTAATATAAGTGAAATACTTCAACAGTTAAAATGTAACTGAAAGACAGGCAGAAACTTTACTTCAACTATCATAAACCTATATTTATAATGATAAACATGTTCAGTCTGCCAGAGCTAAGGCCAGTCAATGGAAAGTAAAAGAGTATTATGGATTAACCCGTCCAGATGATATACATGATGATTTTGGAAATTGATCATTTAGGTCACCTATTGCAAACTGCTGAAAAGATGTCAAAGATATAAATTCAACATCCATACCACTCTATGTATATATATTAAAATACACGTAATCAAATATTTTATCGGTTACCAAGAAAATGTTATTTGGTTTGTGATGGTTAAAGGTACATATACCTTGTGGTAATGATCCTGCCACATCTATTGATTGTTGAATCAATACATCATGCATATGATTATTAATTCATATTCTGACTGTAACATACCCCCACTTCAACCAGTAACAGATTCTGATATCTATTGTTATGGAAGTGTTAAAACCACTTATACAAAGGTAGCGTTAAAATATAAATACCTTCAATATAGTATCTGAGTGCTTTCTTAACTCACTATTAGAAATAATAAAAAATCCAAATCATCTTAAGTTACACCCAACAGCCGCTGATAAATATACTTAAACAATTAAGATTCTCATTGTTAAGCATCCAAACTCACGAACGTAACTTTCCACAATGGCTGTCAGATCTTGGTAAAAAAAAAATGTTTTCTAAGACAACTTTTGGGGGTATCTGCTATTTTAAGCCACTAATAACTGTAGTTATAATATTTACTAATAATAACTAGGGAATAAGTTGTCTTCTCCCTAACAGGTCAAAGAAAGATAATTAACGTCATATTTCCAATTAGCAACTATTCTAAATATATTGAGAGATTTTGAATAAAGGAGTATTTTTAACATTTAAAGAGAATGTAATTTTACATACCATTGTGAACAAAGGCGGTAAATACTTTGCTGCTTCAAATTATCCCTATATCTCTAAATCATATACAAGGGTGTTTATCTCTAATACAAAACACTAGAAAGATTAACTATGTTACTATTTCATCTATCATTATTATACAAACTATAACAAATGTAAAGATTTTTCCACAGATTTTACCTTTTAACATTTTTAGCACAACAGCACCTGATGTCAGTGAGATGTCTATCACTGAGATGTTACAAAGATTCCAATACAGCAAAAAGAGGCGATCTTGAGGATCCACTTCGATTGCTGTATCAACATAACATTTACTATAACGGGATCCATGTCACTTAAGACAATGTCTTGGAAATGCTGTCAATTAATTGATTCCGTAAAAGAATATCGGAGAGTATCCAATCTATACACATCATAAACGGTGTAAAAATGTTTCATGGAAAAAACAAACAAAATAAAAAGCAAAGACAAAAGACAAAGTCAAATACCAACACCATCACCACGGTGATAACAGATGATGCTGATTCAATATCTGCGACCAATTCTAGCCAAATATTTGGAAAGCTGGACTCTACAACCTATACTCTACAACAAATACCCAGGTATTCTACAAACACAACCTCCAGCAATGTATCTAAGGAATGTAAACTTCTACGGGCCTTTAAAGACTTTGGATTACAAATACAATTACTACTTTTAACTTTGGATTACAATTCGTATCCGGATCCATCCAACAATATCTTACTCTGGAACCTGGTGTTCTTTTCAATTCTTTCCCAGACAAAAGATTTGCTCATTTTAATCAACCACCTTTACAGGCAAAGATCACACTACAGATATTATACTGTTACAACAATGATCTAAGATGCTGGGAGCATAAAAAACCTAAAGACTGTTGGAGAACTTTGGTTCACTAATTTAAGGAAGAAATGCGCTACAATGCCCACAGTTTAATGGAGAGGGTGTTATGGGCAAATGCAAATATTACAAGTTTTAGAATGAAATGTTGTATTTCTTAAACTGTGTGCTTTGTCTTTAAGAGATATTGCAAACTGACAAGGTGTTAGAAATGGAACATATCGTTTTTCATAACTGTTTCTTTAAACAATAACCTCAGTGCATAATATGTTTGCGCCATTTTGTCCCAGACGAATTACAATAACAATAATGCATAAACAAGCTTCAAGGCTATGCTACGACTCTTGCAGTACACAATATACTGTGGTAACCCCAAGTTAATGGAACTTCCCCAAATCCGGGAATCTCCTACAACTGCGCACTTACAACTTAGTATAAACAACAGATAACCTATTCAGACTTTAAGATGCCATCTTGAACTAAATCAGGAAAATTTCCATGACGTATGCACCCTTTAGTTATGGCCTTGTATGTTTGCCAAATTAAGGGAGGTCCTAAAATGAATAAAGTAAATGAACTACGGTAACCCTAAAATGGAGACACCTAAGGTATAAATAGGTGTGCTTTTAAATGTTAAGACACAGAGGAGAGACCTGGAGACAGACGCTGCTCCATCTTAAAATGACAGAGAGGCTGACATGATGACATGTTCAGAAGGGTATGTTAACCTATTAATGATATTTGCAAGCATTTAGTTTAATCTTATAAACTCTGCTAAAATGGATTTTACATTTATATTTTTATATAATACATATCCAAAAAGACAAAACTATTGCTTCCAAGACAATCCTTATTTTATATTGTATTCTCAATTATTTATATATGTTAAATAGAGGATCTCTTACACTATATAAAATTATGGCTAAGATATCTGTATGGTTAGCCCTACTAAGTCTATGCTTTAAGACATTATAGTGGTAAATAAGGGAACCACCTGCGATTACACCCTTTTCCCAAACAGTAGTTCAAAAGGAGAAAGGCCTGTGGACTCTTGGGGTACCTCTCTGTAAGCGAATAGCAGATGGGGTAGGAATCACTCCCAGTCCTTATAGGCCTCTCCAAAGGTACTGAGCATCTGCTTTAACGTCCCATTAAACCTTTCACATAACCCATTAGACTGCGGGTGGTACGCAGAGTTCACGATAGGTTTAATGCCACATATTCTCCATAGTTGGTGGGTCACCTCGGCCGTGAACTGCATACCCCTATCCAATACGATCTCCTGGGGGAACCCCACTCAGGAGGATACTTTCATTAAGGCCTCGGCCACTGTCTCGGGGTGGATATTAGAGAGGGCTACTGCTTGCCGGAGGGACTGGGTTTTGGTAAAGGCCCTACTATATCTATGGCCACTCTACTAAATGGTTTGTCTATGATGGGCAGTGGGGATAATTTGGCCTTGTGGTGGTCACCCCTCTTGCCTACTCGCTGACAGATGTCACATGTCTGGCAGTACTGCCGCACGTCCTTGGATATACCCGACCAGAAAAAGGCGTGGGTCAAGCGGTACCGGGTGCAAGTCATCCCCAGATGCCCAGACAAGGGGATGTCGTGAGCGATCCGAAGAAGTTCCTGTCTATATTTCTGGGGGACCACTAGCTGTCTAGTAGTCACATTCACAGATCCCCCACTACCCTTTCAGAAATACGGTACAGTAACCCCTTTTCCCACGTATACCTTTCTCCCTCTAATCCAGCCTGGTCGGAGATCACCCTATCCCTGTATACTTTTAACGTGGGGTCTATCTGAACCTCAGCCTCATATTCAGTCGAGGTATCCCAGGTAACACGGGTTGTAGGAGGGTCCCTGTCTTTTACCTGAGCCTCAGAGTGCGTTGCTGGAGCCGTGGTGCGAGCCTGTTGCCTGGTGGATACTGGGTTAGTCTCTTGGAGTGGAGCTTGAGGAATAAAGGCGGAAGTCATTCGACCCAGGTCATTTCCCAGTACAACATCCGCTGGCAGTTTCTGCATCAGGCCCACCTCTACCATGCCCTACCCAACACCCCAATTCAAATGTACTTTTGCGGTGGGTAATCTGTATACCGCTCCCCCTGCTACTTGCACTGTTACAGATCCACCGGTGTGTGCGGAGCCTGGAACCAAATGAGGGGCTACCAGAGTCAGAGTGGCTCCCGAATCCCGGAGCCCTTGGACCTCTTTCCCTTCCAGGGTTACTAGCTGGCGATGGTGTTGCCTGTTGTCTGTGGCTTGTACCGACATCACATCGTGTAGTATCCCCAGGGGCTCTTCGGTCTGATTAAAAATTATCTCCTGGGTTGCTGGCTCCGCTTGGTAGTGGTGGGCGGCTGCTCTTGGTGCTGGATTCTGCCGTACCTGGTTCCATGCTTGGCGGCTCCGGTTCTGGGTACACTCTCTCGCCATGTGGCCCCATTGTTTGCACGTATGGCACTGTATATTTGCTCTGCCATTATACCTGGATGGTGGAGTGTGCCCCTTCGGGGTTGGCCGGAATGGGTTTGCTGTAGGTGCAGTAGGGGTAACTGTATGAGGTTGAGCGGTGGGTCGAGGGTACCCTCGGTTGAGGTTACCGTGATGCCTCCTGGCGTCATAGTGCTGGTCTGCTAGTCTTGCAGCTTCTGTTAGGGTGAGGGGTTTTCTATCTTTTCTATCTATTCTCACCCATTCCTGTGCCTCTGGGGACAGGCCATTGAAAAACTGTTCTAACAGGAGCAATTGCCGTAACTCCTCCATGGTGGTTGCTTGACTGGCTTGTATCCACCCCTGGGAGGCTTGGTCCAGTTTGTGGGCCCACTCTGCATGGGAATTCCATCCTGGTCCTCATTTCCTTTTGGAAGGGAGTTTCTTCCATGGCTGGTGGGGGTGTAGCGCTGCGAGCTCTGTCTCCCTCCATCAATTCAGCAATCAGCACAGCTTTTGGCTTATTGCTGGCTATCTTACCTCTGGCTTCCAATAGTTCCTTTAACGTCTGCCGTTTCAATGGAGTGTAGTCTGTCTCCATTCACCTCTGTGTTCGGTTCTTTGTTGTATCCGAATTGCCATTCACTTTCCTGTTCGGTAGTATCAATTACCCAAACACCGCTTTTCGGCTGTAAGGTTGGATCCCGTTGCTTGCCATATTAAATCCCAAGATCTCCGCTGGTATAGAAGGTAATCCAAAGTAAAGCGCTGGAAAAGAAGGCAATATCCCAAATCCCCCAGTAACCGGATGAAACACAGTTCAGGGAGTCAACTGACAATTTTATTCACGGCTCCAGGAGTCAACTGACAATTTTATTCACGGCTGTTAGCCTATGCATGCTCTCTATTCTAAAACACACGAATACATTTTTACACCAGGTTAACACAGCTATTTCAGACAACCTTTAAATGTTCTGCAATATGGCCTAAAGTGGCTAGGTTTGCCACACGGGGGTCATAGTGAATGGTTATTTAATATAATGAGGGAGCTGGTAGCGCTGTCAGCTCCCTCCTTGCTTTTTTGGGGGGGGCACATGCACAGTGCTGTATTCAACCTAATGGATGTAAACTAATTATTTTTTTAGCAAATTTTGTTTGAAAAATAATGTTTTGCGGATGAAATTCGGGATTTACGAATTACATTTTTATTTAGTATGGAACTAAAATTTCACTGGTGCACATGTCTACAGGCCATCAGGATGTTGACATCATAGGGGTGTACCTTAAACCACCCCTTCCATTCTGCCCATTGGCCAATTCGGGCTTTGCAAGGTATGGTAATCCACCCGGCTTTGAAGGAAGTTCAGTATTCTATTGAGATTGCAAAGTAGACTCGTGCCCCTCGCTAGAGAATTGTCTGTCAGTACAATGAGGGCATGGTTTGAACATCCTCCACGCCTGCCTATGGGAGTGGAAGGTCTTTTCGGGCTATCTTGCAAAGAGGAGGGATTATAGATCCCTTTTAGATGACAATGCGGAGTGGCTCTTATTTCATCCCCAGACGAAGGTGCATCCTTACCGCCGAACCGTGTGTTGGGCAGCTCACTGTGTGTGGCTATTCACTTCTATTTTGAGCTCCTAATGTTGTAATTTACCATTAATAATTTTAGCTAGACTGTGAGAGGACCAGGGGTTATTACAACCAGGATGTGGGCCTCATTTTGGGGTCTTAACCTTTCAGTCAGAGAATCACTACTTTAGAGATATAGGAGTTTGTTGTTTAACCGTCTGACTGCCAGTGTCGGGTTACTTTCATTATATATGTGTAATATGTGAATCTCATTCGAGGATACTGTTATAGAAGGACACTGTTTCTTTTATTACTGACTAATTACCTACATCTGATTGTACCCTCTCAACTATTCAGCTAATTTGTCTGATTTGAGTGTTTACCTATTATTATTATTATTTATATAGCGCCATCAGATTCCGTAGCGATGTACAATTATACTTCCATTACTGGTTGGCAATCACAAGACGAGATGTCTCATAGCACTAGCTATAATTGATTTATATACTCAGACATTTTTTGGTTCTTGGGGAAATCCAGAGGGGACTCTAATGAATTGCCCCTTCTTTGTACTTCTATATTTTTCTAATTTACTCAATTTACATCTGAGTCTTAGTAACAGTACACACTGACTAGGAGACAATATTGACTAGGAGATTTTTGTAATAAGTCTACTTACCATATTTTTCCTATCGGTACCCTATCAAAGATTTAATATTGTCTTATATATTTTTTGGAGGGACTTGCCTTGTGCGTGACATGGCTATTGGCACCTTTAAGACATTATTATAATTTAATGTAAGACCAGCATAAAGGGTTAATGTGGTGACAGAATAAAAGGGGCGATGGGGGAAGTGAATGTTTACCCAGAGAAAGTGAAACGAGGATTGCGAAACGCGTTGATGTTAACTTGCTTTTAGGGCGGCTTCAGATCATTTCAATGATAGCAACTTAATAAAACCAGTTCTAAAACTTGAATTAGTATCTATTTTTCTATCAAGGAAGAATGGGTGACACTATCACCTTTCAGGTAGAAAGGACTGAAACAATCATCACTGTGAGTCAGCCAGAGCTCCTGAGAGTGGATTGAGGTGGTGTGAGTAGTAATCCTTCCACTAATAATGGAAGAGTATTTATATCACTGAGAAATAAAGGCTGGTTCAAAGAATCGTCTGAAAGAGATTGTCATACACCAGATCGCATTGACTTTGAAAGACAATGGATAAAACAAATAACCATTAATCGTGGGATAATGAGGGGCGTGGGCTTTTAATGTGAAATTTATTACTGGGACTTTGGATGGAGGCTCGTGTGAGCCTCGTGCTGCTCCTTCAGTTTATATTGCTGGGAGACCTCAATCCCACTCACAGATCTTTCAAATCTCTCGCACGGGTATCTCCAAATTAAAGGGTAACTAGTTCTTCTTGTTTTGATGAAAGCCTATAAACTCAGGGCTATTTGCTGGCATTTTATGCCAAGTCACTCCCAAACTGATTTGGAGGATTTTTGCAATTTGGTTATTTCGAATAAAAATCTGCCATTTCCTTACAATTCTCTCCATTTCCAACTTCAGAGTATCTGCACTCATGGAATGTTTCTGAAGCCCATCTTCGAATAGCTCTGCATATTTTTGTATTTATTGTAACCATTGAATCCTGAATAATGGAAGTTACCAGGAATTCAGTATAAAGTATCCTATTGGTCGCCGTTTGTGGTATAAACATTAACTCCCACTACTCCTGGGCGGCAGCAATGATCACAGTAATTATCAGCCTCAATACCTACAATAGAAAAAAATGACCTGCGGACTATCCCATATCCCTATGTATATTTAAATAACTGCTTTTAAAACTACTTTTAGAATAACTCCAATAGCTATTTAACTGTTCGCTCACCTGGCACATCAAGGACGAACCTCTTAGGTGAGTCCTTCACTAACAATTCACCTTGCTTCCTTCAGTCAAATCTCTAACGAGACAGAGAGGGGTATTTTTCTAAACCCCTACACAGTAATTAACCCTTAATAGGGAACACATGGGGTGGGCGGCAGCATTGTAACATCGCGGTGTGATACAAAAGCAAATACAAACATACAAAAACTCCCACTACCCCTGGGCAGCAGCAATGATCATAGTACACATCAGCCCCAATATATACATTAAAAATGAAAGAAAAAAAGTTACTTGTGCCCTATGCACATTTAAATGGAGGGTTTATTTTAGTATACAAAACCTCCAGTTATTTAAATACGCGCAGGGATTTAGGATAGTGCGCAAGCAACTTTTCATCTTTATTTTTTATCAGACGTTTGTGGTATGGCTGAGAGGGGAGGAGCCTATTTCTGCCACCAGCGATACCCAGCCAAGCAGTGACAGTCATTGATATTCCTTGCAGTGACTATAGGACGTGTGTCTACGCTATGAGCCGTGCTAGTCTCAGGAAGAAGGTAGGATGCTCTGTAATGAATGGGTTGGATCACTGATAGTAACTATTTATCATTAAAATATTAATACATTCCCTGAAGGTAAAAATTCAATTTCTAACTGTATCCTAAGTGATATTAAAGACCTAAATCTAACTATAACACGAGCTACTTGCCCTTCTTCTGGATATTCCTTTTACCAGTTAGCACAGCCACCCACTCCCTCCTCATATCTCCGAAACGATGGTTAGAGTGTAAGCTCTTCAGGAGCGTTTGCTTGCTCACTGGCCTGTTACTTATGGGCCCCCTTCAATCAAAGATTAATTTCCCCCATCTGGATTCCTATGGGTTAATGCTATTTCCTTATAACAGTAAACTCCTCACCCTACAAGCCAGGGGTAAACTCACCAGAAAGACCTGTTCTGGTTACAGTAAATCATTCCTCAACGTGAAGTGTTTCGTTTTTCATGTCCTGCTCGCCTCAAACCAGCTCGCTTTTTCTCCATCTTTGCATATTTGTGTGTCTGATAATACCAGATGGTTGGTGAGACTCTCCCTGTTTAACCCCATAATCAAATGATTTGGGTAAGTGTTTAGTAAGTGGATTGGTGATTGGAGGATTATTCTCTCTCTCTTTTGTTTGAAAGCCGCCCCCCTTAAGCAAACATTACTGCTCCATTAGATCCACTTTGCATTGTCTGCCCTTGTATAAACATTGTGTCATATAAAGAGCTCTATGATAACATCACATTTATCTGCCTACATTAAAGGGACATGCATCACTTGGATTAAGATAATTGTTTCACAGTTTGAGGAAATATTGTTAGATTGTGTCTTTTCTTCTTGTTTTTGCATTTTCTTTCTTATGCTTTCCACACCCAGAACATGGGTGGAGGGGAAGTTGGGTGCACTGATCTAACCAATCAGGATCCTATCCCTAGGAATGCTAAAAAAAAAAGTGCATTGAGCATGCCTGAAAGATTTACACACGTGCGATTGGAAGATCTCTTCATCTTGCAACATCCTGATGGGGGAGCAGAGAAACTCCCCAAGCTGAGAGGCGTGCCCACTAATGCAGTCTGATCACTTTTATAGTAAATTTACAAATACGTTTTTCTTGCTTTCTTTTGGTTTATAAATTTGTTTAACGTGTTTGCTTGCTTAACAAAAAAATTTTTAAAATTGAAAATGATGCATGTCCTTTTAAAGGATCACTATAGGACCAGGAACACAAACATGTATTCCTGACCCTATAGTGTTAAAACCACCATCTAGCCCCCCTGGGTCCCTCATGCCTCCATAAATATAGCAAAATCTTGCTGTATTCAAGCCTGAAGCTGCTGGCTCTGCCCCTGTCTGCCTCACAATAGAAAGCAGTCTGCTGACATCATCAGAAGTGGTAGCTTGATCCAATCACAGTGCTTCCCCATAGGATTGGCTGAGACTGACAAGGAGGCAGATCAGGGGCAGAGCCAGCATGATTCAAACACAGCCCTGGCCAATCACCATCTCCTCATAGAGATACATTGAATCAATGAATACACAAAAC